CTAATATAATCTATCACACTCATAGGACACCAAGGAGGGTTGTGAAACAAGGCAGAAGACCATACATAAATCCTCTGTAACATCTTTTGATTGTAAAATTATTTATTTTGGTGTGATCTAATATTATTTATTTTTTAGTGGAATTAAATGAGTTTTCATTTTGGGCAACCAATATGTGATGGTTATGTTTGTGAATTGTGGCTGTGATTTATGAAAGTTTGTTAATTTTAGAATTTAATTAATAATAGTTAGTTAAAGTTAATTAAAATAAAGAATATTGTTAGAGTGAATTAATAAAAAATAGTAATTAAAATAGAGAGGGTAATGAAAAAATACTACGTATTTGTTCCAAGACTTGAGCGAAGCTATCAAAACGTCGGCGTTTTTGACTAACAGCGCACACTGCTCAAACTCAAACTCTCTGGCAACCGCCACACATCGACTCCCTTCTCTCCTCTATCGTCTCAGCTCCGGCGCTGCCCACCACAAAGCAACCACAAGCCGACACCGGACCACCAACCGAATCATCGGCGGCCCTTTTTCTGGCAATTTGCAGAGCCCGATCCTCCATTTTCGATTCTTCAGTCAAGGTACATTCTCTTCGCTTCTCTTCTCTTCTCAGTCCGTTTTCTATCTATACGACAATTAGACAGCAGATCTAAACACTCCAGTCTCCTCTTCATCTCTAAAACCCTGACCGCATCAGCCACGCACAGTGGCTGGCATACTGCTATCTGCATATTGATCGTTTGTATATTAGTGTAGAGTTGAAGTTTTCTCAATGTTGATCTTCTGTATAATTTTTTTAGAATATCTGGTAAAATTTTCATCGTGTAGAATTCTAACTATTTTATGGAAAATTGAACAAAATATTAATGAAGATTGATAAATTAGAATGGCCATCGCTTACCTGATTGTAGTCTCTCCTCTCTCTTTCTCTCTATTGTGAATTGGCTTAAAAATTGTTTTTCGGCAAGTTAGAAGTGCTCCATTATGGTAATTATATTGCTCTGTCATGGTCTGAATATTTTGCTGCTGCTTGTTCTGTGTAATTTGGCAGAAGTTGGCCTTGTTGTGTTCTTGGGCATTTACTGCAGGGTGTGGTTAGTGTTTGGTCTAATGACTGCGTTTTTGTGTTGCTGTTGGTGTTCATGATGAAAGGATGCGGGGATGTGTTTTCTGAATGTTTGCGGTTAGGGGCCGAGCCAAAAATTGAAACTAGGGTGAGCCCTTCGCTATAAGTTGTAATTGATTTCTATTAATCTATAAAAGTAAGATGATATATGATGCATTTATATTTATCTATAGAGACTGATCGCAGAAAAAATCGAGACTAATTACATGTCAATTCAAAGAAATTTCACATTCGAAGTACAAATACAGAACAAGAAAGTCGCAAATATGCAAATCAAGATTGATTGTAGAAAATCTTAACAAAATAGAAAATACAAAAAATATAAATACAAGATGCAATTTATAATTTTTTTTTTTAAAAAGCACTTTAAGAACAAAAAACGAGCGACAAACGCAATGGGTACAATTGAGATATTAAAAAAATAATGGGTAGCAATGTCGCCAACTCGCTGGATCCCAAACAAATGCACGCCACAACTTGTCTGGCATTGCATGGAGAATAATTTGCCAGTAGTGTCTTTTCCTGTCTTGGTTTTTCTCTAAATCTCTCGATCGCTACCGCAATTTCGTCTAGTGAGAATAATTTCAACTGTTGAGAAAAAATTGACTATTCCAAAAACTCGTTAAGTTTTATCATTTGATGTTATGACCCTGATTCTTTTATTCGTCCAAAATTACACTGTATTTTACTGTGCTATGACACTAAGTTTTTAAAAATAATAGAAATATCACATAGTTTTATTAAAAAAATATAAAATGACCCAAACATATGCCAAAATTTTTTTGAACCTATTGGAAATGTGTTCATAATATGTCCATAGACATCTAGGTGTAGGCCTACACAAAGGTGATAAGCTTAGTGAGGCCCTTAAAATATGTTTGGGGAGTGCATAATGCATACATATATATATGTATAGATATATAAAAACATAGAAATAATGTTTCAAAAATATTTTAGGGTGGGTCGGTGGACCACCGTGGGGGAAGGGTAACTCCGCCCATGTTTATGGTGGTTGAGGGCCTTGATGCCTTTGACTGAATATTTGGATAGGTGAATTGGTTACTCTTTGACTGTGGTTGGGTAGTATCAATGGTCTAGTATGTTCGGGTGATGGTTATTGCGGCTGTGATGGCAGTGGTGGTGATGAGATAGATGATTAACAAATGGAGAGGAACATTCAATTGCTCACAAGTTTTCAGAGATAACTAGTTGGAAAATATCATTTGAAATTTTTCTTAGCCCCCATCAAAATAAAATAAAGCTCACGTCCAATTCCTTTTCTCTCGCCATCTGCATGGGTCTTCAATGTTGTTCATAATTTTGAAGGAAAAATACTTAGGCATATTCATTAATGGGCAGGCTTGCAAGGGATGCTTTGGTTAACAGGTAGGGCAACTAACAACCTTTGCAAGTAGTTGATGCTTTAGTCCACACAACCTTGTGTATTGCTTTTGTAGGGCATATTATTAGGTGGTTGTACCACCTTGGGGTCAAATGAGCTTTTGGGGGGCTACAGTAATTACAAGCTTATCCAATGCCATACCTATAGTAGGAGATACGATTTGATCTGCCCCTTGGCTGGGAGGCTTCCAATTTCCATAAAGACATCCAATTGTTTTGAATGTAATTGCGCTTCTTTGTCGCAATAACCATATCTTTAAGGAAGAATTGGTTGTAAGTTTGTCTTTCACCAGTCTTATTTTCAATAGTCCCCTTGTGGATGAGCAAAACAGGTCATTTAGAATGCGATAAGTTCATATTCTCCGTGTTCGACTTCTATTTTATTTTGAATTTCGAGGATGAGCTGGTCAATCCTAACATCATTTATTTTACACAGCCATCAAGTACATATCCCTGGTGTGTTTGTATCGCCACCATATTTGGAAGGGATAGCTTTATTGCAAGGCTACATGCAGTGAATGAATGATGCTAGAGTTTTTTATGTTGAATGGCTTTAGACAATTAGAATGCAAAGCAATCCTGATTTTGTAAGTTTACAAGCATGAGAATAGATAATATATTGTGTTTGTGACATTGTTCCATAGATTTATATTGATGCAGGGAGGGAAAGGAAGGAAGAAATAACAGGGATTCCTAAATCCTCGATAAGTGTAGGTCGGACACACATTATTCTCCACACATGGGGAATTTAAATTCACACTCTACCTACAATATGAGGAATTACATGGTTATTTATAGACAAATTCTCTTACCAAAATAAAAACTACTCTTCTACTAATAGTTTATCGAACTTATCCAAACAATCCGAATGTAAATTATCTAACTCAATCTAAATAACAAATAACCCTAATAAATCTTCAGTGATACTTCTCAGTGGAAAAAAAAATCTGAGTTTTCTTCCGCTTCGCTTCCTTGGTTGGTCATGTCGGACCAACCATGCAATTGCTATGCCGTGGCATATGTATTTCAATTAGTTTATCTTTTGCAGAATCCTCATTGATATTCTTCTTCAATGAGACGACTCTTTAATTGTCCACTTTCGGTTAGTTTTGGAATGAATAAATCCCTATTGTAGTTAGTTGTTCTTTATTTTCTTTTATTTTAGGGATATTCTCTTGGTGGATACTGTTGTTATGCAGTAGATACAATTTGTGTTTTGTAGCGATACACCTAATCTACGTCTTGTACTTGGACAATAAAGGGGAAATGTTACCGGTCGTGTGCGTTGTGTATTTTTGAATGGGACATGACCACCTACCTGTTAGAGAGGAGTTGAAAAGGATTATGTATTCACAAAAAGCAAATGGATATAAACGGAGGTTGTGGTTTTAGCTATTGTGTTGACTGGGCGGTCTTATTGTGGATGTGTGAAACATTAGTGTTTCACAGTTGGGGAAAGGTCAAGAGTTGGATTGATCTAATAGATAGTATCTCAAGTGCGTACATAAAGGGGTTAATCAGTTTCGTATGTTTGTATAAACTAATTGGGTGAAAGATTCAACAATTGGTTTTCCACATACAAAATGTGCGAACCACCACTTTGGGTCACAAATGGTTGCACGGGAACATATACTTGGGTGTGACCTGTAATCAAGAGATTGAATCTTTAGTTGANCGAAAGATTCAACAATTGGTTTTCCACATACAAAATGTGCGAACCACCACTTTGGGTCACAAATGGTAGCACGGGAACATATACTTGGGTGTGACCTGTAATCAAGAGATTGAATCTTTAGTTGATTCATATACCAATGATGATAAATTTAGGCTTGACTATTGAAAATGATAAACCGTATGAATGATTCTTGGTTAGAGCCTAATGCACAAACTGTGAAGTTCTTCAAAATCCTGTAAGAGAACCAAGATCCATTGTTTCTCACATATTTACCAGAATTCACTAAACCTCNGATTCATATACCAATGATGATAAATTTAGGCTTGACTATTGAAAATGATAAACCGTATGAATGATTCTTGGTTAGAGCCTAATGCACAAACTGTGAAGTTCTTCAAAATCCTGTAAGAGAACCAAGATCCATTGTTTCTCACATATTTACCAGAATTCACTAAACTTCTGATGTCCTACGATCTGGGTACGTCGATCCCAAATAGGGTATTTTTGTGATCTAGATCACCAAAATGTACGACACCAAATTATAATACTAACCGTAAATCGATTTGTTTTCGAATATGTAGCACAAATATAAAATACGTATTAATTGACTACGTGTATATATATTTATTATTATATATTATTTTAGATAATAAAAAATCGAGCACAAATGTATGATAAATAATAACTGACTTAGTATTTATGGATGTTGTATGATATATAATGTTGTATAGTAGTGAAAACGATTTAGATAAAAGTTCTAAAACAAATTGTGACCTAAAATACCGTACCGGCTAAGCTTATCTTAATCGTGCCCCATACCTAAGAAAAGTGTTGTATTGTGTACTCATACCCGTACCATGTACCAAAACAACCCACGATCTAAGTAACATTAGTCTCTTAGCTTTGACAAATGACACTTCTTGTCTATAGGGACTTTAGTTCAAAATCTCTCACTGGCATTCTTACCTATGTCATCATATCACAGCTCAGATAAATGAATTCATTTTCAGAAACAGCACATAATACAGATGGAATTTAATCTTGATGGAGGTCCAACCATGCCTTTAATAACGTGTTTAAGTCGTTATATTGTTTCTCCTTGTGTCCATATGTATGGTATTGTCAGCTATTGATATTGTATGCATGAGCTGCTTGGTGAAGTTTTCTCAATGGACCATGATGCGCCAAACGATAGTAAAGCTCAGACCATGAGCTGGTACTGGTCCCAACAATGTGATCTATGAGCTTCATGCCTAGCTAACGTGCAAAGTCCTGTGGATTCAGTTACCACTGATCAACCTAGTCTCTTTTGAACCCCATTTTGGGCACCCAGTTATATATGCTATTCTGATATGGATTTGAAATGAAAGATTCAGATTGTTTTACATGGTGTTATTGCAGATATACACAATGCAACGGTTAGCAACTAGAGTCTCAAGGAGTCTACTGTCCTCAGTGGGCAATGCTTCATTTTATTCTTTTGCCCCAAACCAGCCATTCACTGCCTCCTCTTGGCGAAGAAATTTCCGAAAGTTGCAAGAACATTGTATTCCAGCTGGTTTCTTGAACTGTGGTTTACTTGGCTTTTATAGGACCTCAAGCTTTGCCACTGGTTTCACGCCATTGCAGCCGAAGCCATTGGACTCTATTATTGACATCGAGAGGGCAAAGAATAAATCACCAGAGGACCTCTCTGCAGTTTGGGATGACGTAAGTTCTTATATGTGGTCCCAATTCATTTGAAGTGCTCTTGTCAATCTTTTAACCTCTTATATGTTTAAATTAGTCTTATTAAGTAATGGTAGGAAGAAAATTTTAATTAATTAGCGAAACTTTACAGTTGAGGGTTATGTTTAGTGTGATCTCCATTGTCATATTCTGATAACATTGTGTAGTTCTCTTGATGGATGCAGTATTCGACCATGGGGACTTTATGCATTCCATATGAACTTTTCCTTGACTTAGGTATCATAAGTTAGTTACTTTCTGAGCTGGATCATGTTATGTCAGTATCACTTGGGAAGAGGTCACATTGCTGCGTCAATGAAAGCAAAATTGTATCATCTGTTGGAGCATAGGGCGGCGAATTGGTAATCCATTTACACGATCTTGCTGTTTGATATATGTCTTCTTTTGTGATTCAAATGTTCTTGCTTCTATTTTTCTTGTAGCCAATACTTTGTCATTCCATTGTGGAGAGGAAGTGGTTACACCACAATGTTTACACAAGGTTTGTTTTCTTCTTGCTTTTTACATGAAACATCATGCAATTGTTAGAGGTTGGAGATACAGGAAACTTCGATAGTTTGCTGTCAGGTAATTTTCCTGCCTTCCCATTTTTAACCCCATAACCGTATTCATCAAATGCCAAACATGCTTATGTGAATAAATTTATTACAAATCACACATGCTCATGGTCAGCAAGCAGTCATGGATGCTTGAATTTTTACAATAACTACAAGTTTAATCTTTTTAACATTAACAAGTGATATGAAACACAGAATCTTGATACTTATCAAAAAAAAGAACCGTATGGTGAATCAAAAGATTCAAACCATTTGCGCTGTGTCTATTTCACCTCTTTATGTGGGGGTGCCCACATATCCTTATATGACTGCTTTGTAGATAATTGCTCAAGTACCTTTTAGCTCTCCACTTATAATTAGATTAGGTAAAATGCTATATATAGATTGTTCAGTCTCATGCTAAGGGGTTGACATTCGTCCTTCTGCAGATTCCTGCCCCGAACTGTGGGGTTTTTTTTTTTGTTTGTTTATGTAGTCTTTTGTTCATGTTTGCTTTTGTAGATCGAAATCCATTGTTATTTTTCTGTCTCAAATATATGTTTGGAAGATTAGGCTCAACATTTGTCCTATATTTTTGTGTATGTTTTTTCTATGTCAAGTCATTTAATTCTCAGTTTGTTGATGTTCCATTTAAAGTTTTTTAAGAATTCTTGTTTGAGAAGGTTTAAGATTTGTTGTTGGAATGGCTATCCGACAGATATAAAAAAGAAAATCAAACTGATTAGTTTCGTGTGGAGAAACTAATACAATAGCATTAGTTTCTCTAAGTATCCATTGGCTAATTTTCTACAATTTGAAGATTTCTCTTTACCTATGAACAAGTTTGTTGTGAAAGTAGAATGAAATCTTGAGTGACCCCACCAACAAAAAAATTCTAGATCAGCAAATCAGTGTGTGCACATGTCTGCTTGTGAAAAAGAAAAGCTCTAAACTTCGTTTAAAGAACAAGCAGCCAAGTAAATGAAACAATTGTGCAATAAATTTTTATTAATGGAATAAACTTTCAACTATGAACAATTCATTTATAGGGTGGATGCATAGGGGATTTGATCTTTTCTTTCTTTCTTCTCTCTATATGATTAAGTCTGATACTAATGTAAAGATAAATGCTCGATCACATCTAGATTAGTCCCACTCCCCTCCATCGGGAATTCCTGTTCTGTGCCTCAGATAATGCTCAGTTAAGAAGCTGCATCTAAGGTTTTTTAATTTATTTTTTGTGAAACCTTTTCAGAGTTTAGTTATTATTCAAACCTTGTGCAGTGCAGATGCCACACATTCTTTTCACTGGTCTTGAAGATTACAAAGCAAGAGGGACTCAAGCTGCTCCCTACTTCACCGTTTCTTACTACACAGAGTTTGCAGAAAGCAAGGACATGGTGCTTGTTCGCGGGGATGTCGTTTTCATGAGCAAGCTCACTGATTCAGAGGCGAAATGGCTATTGGAGACCTTACAGTCTTTTTACCTGAATGATGTTAGGTACAAGCTGGTTGAACGGTTCAACAAAGAAACACGGGAATTCGAGTTCAAGGACGTTTTACAAGCATTGGAGATGCCCATTTTGTAGTTTATTCGAGTAAAGAATGAAGAACAATAAAAGAGAAGGAAGGATTCAGCAAGGTGAATTGGCAGCTTTTATAGTTGCAATGCAGCAAGTCTTATTTAAGCTTCATTGGACAGTTTGTTTAATTGTATTTATCCAATAACTGTGGATATGTGGTCTTGAGATTGAATACTTGTATTTCCTCTAGGATTATGAGTACACATTGTGGAGTCTATTGGAAAGTTGAACATGTAACCTATCTCTTAGGCTGGAGATGATATCTAGAAATTTCTTTCTTCTGATTTCGAACTTAGTAAGTGTGTTAAAATATGGCATGCTATGTTGATACGAAACGAAATTAGAGGATTTAAGTATTTTTTAAGGTACTCGTTTTTGTAAACGGGTGGACTCCACATAACACGATTAATAAACGAATTAGGTACGAGTGAAGTCAATTAAAAGAAATATACAATAAGTCTTGTTTATGTAACGGTTATACAGGATACGAACACTAATATGATATGACTTGATTCGTTAGATACGAATTAATAAATAAATTGAATATAAGTGAAATATTTTTTTACGTGGACCCACAAAAACTTGACATGAATTCACATCATTTAATACGATTGGCAGGCCTATAGTAATGGCATGTATTTTTGGCACAATAGGTGAAGTCAGTTTATTAGGGTTGGTCATTTATCAATGTTAATTTGAAAATGTCACAATTTGTAAAAAAACGATGTTACATGGACTTTATTTGATCTCAAATTGTAAAAATAATGCTACATGGACCTTAGTTAGTGACTTTATTATTCTCTACCATTACTAATTAGTATCCATCCACTATCGGTTCAATGATTATAATTCATCATATTACCAGATAAGGTTACAAAATTAAATAGAAAAAACGTTTCTCATTTATAATACGAAAAATAAACAAACTATGGTTAAGAAAAAAAATGTGTAACTCGAAACAACTAGGTAGTCCGTTTTTCTTGTATTGACACTAATAGTGTGTGTTTGATAGAATGGATAAAAAAATTGAAGAAAGAAAAATAAAAAAGATATATTTTCTATTCTCAAACGAAAAAGAAAAAGAAAAAGAAATGTTTCCTCTGTCTTTTGTTTATCGGTAAAACTAAGACAGAAGAAAATCAAAAATAATTTAATTTTTTTATGTTTGACATGGATAAAAAAGTGAAAGGAAAGAAGAAGTACACATCATTTTTTATGATTGTATCCACATTATAAAATTAATATATACACAATATATCATAAATTAACAAGCAAAGTGTATATTAATGCTCCGTTTGGTAGGAAAGATGAAAAGTAAGAATGATACATTTTCTATCCTTCAAGGATGAAAAGTAGGAAGAATATACTTTCCTTCCTTTGTGTTTAGTTGGATAGATAGAAAATAAAAATAACTATTTTTTTAATTTTTTTTTTTGTGATGACTAAAATTAGGGGTGACAATCGAGTTGAGTCGTGTTGTGTCAAATTCGTTAAATTATTACAAGTTTGTGTTGAATATTAGTCAAACTTAACTTAATTCATTTAACTAATTATGTCGTGTCGAGTTGCGAGTTGACCTGTTTATTTTCGTGTCGAGTTCGAGTCGTGTCATCTTCTTGAGTTTAAAATTTTCACTCTTAATTAAGATGAAAAAAATATTTTTTTTTAATTTAAATTTTTTATTTTTAATTTAAATTTTAAAAAATATATATACATATTTTACCATTATATTTTTATATGAAATTAATGTATACATAAGATATATAGACAAAAAAGATACATTTCAACAGAAATAATTAATTTTCCATCTATTTTTCTTCCGATTTTGGAGAGATTGATTTTGGTGAGTTGAAAAGAGAGTTGAAATTGAATTTTTCATACAATCATCAAATTTAAAAGTTCTTAGAATAATTTTCTCTAAAACCATATTACCATTAACACCAAGCTCCCTGTTACCCCCTTACCAATCAGCCCCAATGTCTAACCCTACCTCTCTGTCTTTCACCTCACCATTCTCCTATATCTCATTCCGCCTCCTCACCTTTTCCGTTCATTCAAGTCTAGACTTTCATTTACGGGAATTTTCGGCGGTATAAGTGTTGAAAGTTTTAATTTTTTAAAGTTAAATTATAATTTTTTTGAAATATAATTATAATTTCAAATACAAGATCGATCATGAAATGCTGAGATTGATACTGTATTTTTTTATGATTAATCATGGATGTCCGTGATCAATCGTGACATTCCTTGAACAATTAAAATTTTTTCTTTTAAAATTATAATTTTATTATACAAAGTAATAAATTGTGGTACCAATACCAATTTTTTTTTTTTTTTGGTGCGGCAGAGTTTCCCTTTATTTACATTCTATTTCTTTTATATTTTAAGCAGGTTAGTAGCAGGTCGTCTCAACCCAATCACAAGCCACGCATGTATTAAAATAGAGTAAATTACATATATAACCTTCAAATTATAATTTTTGTATCAATTAAACCCTTAAATTTTTATTTTTGTGTCAATTGATCCCATAAACTCTTTAATTGTGTCAATTGAGTTCTTCTGTTTGTCTCCGTTAGATTGTACCACTCACGTGACTGTATAACACAAAAAAAACAAAAAGGGTTTAATTGACACAATTAAAAAATTTTAGGGGCTAAATTAACACAAAAAAAATATTTAAGAACTTACTTTAACAAAAGAGCCATCAATTAAATAAATAAGCCATGCTGGTGTCAAGTTATTTGACACAAGTAAGTTAATTAGTCATGCATGAGTCATGAATTCAAAATGACACGAAAATAAATATAATATTATACAACTCGATTGTATCCTTATTATTGCTAGATCCCATTAGTGTCAAATGGGAATTAGTAAATTTAATGATTATTTATGAAAAATGATAAATTTTAAGATTCAAGAGGCTCTAATAGTTGGAATTGATAACTGAGTCATGCTTTATGAGTTCGAGTTGAGTTTGTCAAGCTTATTTTTTTAAACAAGTTTAAAAAATGACGCGAGACTGAGCAAAACTTGAATAATTCTATTATTTTATATATAAAAGAATCAAATTAAGTTTTGGGAGTTTGAATCGAGTTTGTCGAGTTTTTTTTTTAAACAAGTTTAAAAAATGAAGCGAGCCTGAGCAAAGTCTGAATAACTTTACTTTTTTATATATAAACGAATTAAGCCAAGTTTTGAGAGCTTGAGTTGAGTTTGTCGAACTCGTTTTTTTAAACAAGCTTAAAAAATGTGACGAGCCTGAAAAAAACATGAATAACTTTACTATTTTATATATGAACAAATCGAATATCTAAAAAATTGTTTGAGCTCTACTCATTTAAAAAAATGAATCAAACCCGTAACCGAACCCAAAATAAACCAAGTTCGAATATTTCGACTCGATTAACAGCACTATTAATACCCACCGCTTAAAATTTTAAACCTCCCTCGTGTCTCACTTTGACTGGGCAAAAAAAGCGCGCCCTATTTCCCATGGGAGGGAGGACAAGTATCTTTCAACTCCCTGAATTTAAAACCAAAGACTGAAACACTATGAAATGAATCCTCCGCCTCTATCACTCAAATCAAAATTGAAATCTTCCCTCAGAAAACAACTTTGAATTCAATCCTCCAAATCCCAATTCTCCCCTCCAAAAAATACCCATTTCCCCACCATTACAAATACCCCTTCTTCTCCCTTTGAACTCACCCCTCTCTATCTCTCTCAAAACACACACAGAGAAAGAGCAATGGCTGTCCTCTCTCTCTCTGAAAACAGTAGAAACAAAGAGAACATACCACCTTTCTCAGCAGAACAAGACACAACAGTTTCAGCAATACCCATATTTCCAACCAAAAATAAAAGAAGGTTGAGAAAGCCTCTTGAGGACATCACCAACTTCTTCTACCCAACACCTATCTATTCAAGTCCAATCCCAGACAACCCATTTCCTCTTGCTTCCTGCTCTTGTTTGGTCTGCAAAGCAAATCGACGAAAAAGGAGAGCTGAGTTTGATCTTTATTCTCCAATGTTGAAGAACACGAGATCTGTTTCTTTGAGGAAGGGTTTTAGATAAGCCACTCTACAAGTCAAGTTTTTTTTTTTTCAGTCAGTTATTTTTCATTTTAATTTTTTGTTCTTCCTCTTCATTTTCTTCCTGGGTCTTGACTGACCATCATTTATAATCGAAATTCCTTGAAAATGTTGTTGCTTAAAGATACTAAATACAATTGATATGAATTTCTCTTGTGTTGGTTCTTGCTGTGGTATTTCATGTGCAAAATAAGATTGGCATTGAGTTTTTTTTGGTTAAATTGTGGCATTTGACAAAGTTTGTAACTGTTTTGAATTGTAATTTTTTTCAATTGGAATTCCAAAGGACCCAATTGTAAGCTGCCTGATGTTATGCATGCTAAAAGGTAATAACTTGTATCACTAAACAGTTGGTTTAGTAAGTAAGATGCTAGCACTGTGGTACTCATGCATCAAAAGACCCCATTAAAAGAATTTGTGAGAATAAGATTTGCATCAATCATCATGTCACCGGTTCATTCTCAAGAAAATCCAATAGTTAATCACCCAAAATTTAATAAGATTATGGTATTGAAAATTATATGATAACCAACAAGCACATGAACCTACTATATGAAAATTCGGAACCATTTGAATCTCTCAATTATTTACCAATATATAGTTATTTTTGAACGAATTTACTAATCTACTAATATNCTGAAAATTATATGATAACCAACAAGCACGTGAACCTACTATATGAAAATTCGGAACCATTTGAACCCCTCAATTATTTACCAATATATAGTTATTTTTGAACGAATTTACTAATCTACTAATATTTTTTTAAAAGTGAAATCAACAAATTCCCTTTCATGTAAAAAGTAAAGTCAACAAATTTGTTTACAAAGGTGCTTTATCCAAATTTTAAAAAGTGAATTTTTGACTCTTTTTTGTTTTTAAAAAGAATCGTAATGAGTGAAAGTAGATTTGTTAACTCTGCATTTTACATGAAAATGTGTTTGTTGAATTCATTTTTAAAAAGTGTCTTAAATTGATTAATAAATTTAAAATTACTGTAGATTGTTAAATCTATTTAAAAACGGTTGTACATTGATACATAATTCCATCATCCCCTATCCCTCCTCCCAAAAAACAGGGAAAAAGAGGGAAATATACATGATATTTATTATTTCAAGATGTATGTATCAGAGTTACTGAGGCGTTTCAAGGTCTGTTCTTTGGTCAAGTGCTTCTATTGTTGAGACATCTGGAAATGCATCTGGGTAAGTTTCTGAAATCTTTGCCTTCAGACTCCTAACAATTCAGAACAAAACCCAAATTATCACTTGCTCATCAATGGTATAGATGACCAACCAAAAGGGCAAAGTACATAGAAAGAGGGAAAGAGAGTAATCAAACTAACTTGTACATAGCTAACATCCTTCAAAAGAATAAAGGGAAACAAAGATATAAGATGAAAGTAACAGACTAATTTCAGTAGTCATTGTTTCACACATTGATCATTGGATGACATTAAAGCACCTAATTAGGTGGATTGGCCAATCAGGCTCGTATACTAGCTTAGAAGGTTTTATACACTGGACAGGAACAAGCTTCAATACCCTTCTAATGGGTGACCTGACTCAGAAATGCCCAATTAACATTCATAACATACTATCAGCAAACTCAACTAAAAATGCTCATTGAACTTGCTTGATAAACATTCATAACCTTCCAGAACCCAACTTCAATACCACATTAAAGCACGCAACTCACAACTATTGACCATGAGTGAGAGGTCCACAATCCTCGTCTACTAGCTTGGAAGGTCTTACTGATATAAAACAGGTGTGCAACAGATAACAAGCTTGAAAGCCACCCTCGCCCCTGCAGCCCCCCACAGCTCCCTCCCTCACCTTGCAGCCACCACACAACCCCTCCCCACCCCCTCCTCAATAGTTCTCTCCACCCACCCCACAATGCAGCTTCCTCCCTGTCCGATCCAATCCCTCCCCAGCAGCCCCTTCCTCCCTGGCCCACCCCAAAATCCCCTCCCCCTTCCTCTGTCGGCCCAAATCCCTCTACAAAAGTTAGATTCACTCCTCCAGTTTAAGTACATAAACAATGGGCTCAGAAAGAAGAAGAAGAAGAATTGTTTCAGCTTTGAAGTTTTCTTCAAAAGTTGACACCAAAAGCTTTTGCTTTTCAATGGTTGAGCAGTGGACAAGAGAAGAGCATGCAAATAACTGGATCATATCCACCTTAATATCATTGACGTTGAGACATGACAAAATCGTGGGTGAAACACACCACGTGACACTAAACACAAATTGACGAGAACATAAACCATATGCTGCGTACAGACCAAGCTTGAAACCTTGAATATAGCAAACCAAAGTGCAAGGTTTGTAATACATTTCTTAGTGTATGCTTGGATATTTCCAGATAAATGGCAATTCAACAGCCTAACAGGCACCATAATAATACACCTCCCATCATAGCAAGTTCTCAAATACTAAGCAATAAATAATCACCTGAGATTAGAATAGTGAAAAAAAACGAACTGGAAATGACCATACCTCAGCTTCTGGAATATGTAGTCCAGGTCTGATTTCATAGATTTTAAAAGACGTGTGTTTCTCGAAAAATCACTAGAAACCTCAGCAAAGCAATGCTTTGAATGCTCATTAAAATGAGAAAGGGTTGCATTGCTGTCCTGCAATCTTCCTAATCTGTGATTTGGGGGCACAGAGGAGTATATAAAAAATACAGAAGTACACAGATCAGTCACCAGCTCAAGGCACCATCACAATTAAGGAACTGATGCTGTCAAAATACTGATGCCAACTTGCTTATCCTAAAAAATCTAAAATATCTTAAGTTAAAATTTTATGAGAACTATTAACCACTGACAGCTCTGCAAGCTTCAGTTACCCGAGAAGAATGTAACAACATATTTAAATAAGAACAATGCTACGCATACCAAAAGTTTTACCAAAAAACATTTTTACCAAATGAGTTGACAAACTCATATCACTCCTCGGCTGATGAATTGATGCTCAAAATGCTTTTGATACGACATGGAACCTGCCAACTCATTAGATACAAATGTTTTTGGTAAAACGTTTGGTATGAATATGATGTAGAACAGAGTGTAGGCTTGGATCCATCTTGACCTTGACAGCCCAAATATAATGGACCTTAGATTGATATCCAACTTGAACCCAACTTCTAGAAGTTTCTAAAAAGATATTAATGTGAGTAGCTGAGAGATGTAGTTGGATGATAATTGAGTAATTAGTGTCAGTAGGTGAAGTTGGTAGATATATTTGAAAAATATATTAAATTAGGTAGTTAAAAGATGATAAAGTTATTATAAGAGGTTAGATGCATTAAATATAGGTAGGTGTAAGATAACAGAAGAGCTCTATATAAAGGGTCTTTGTCTAACCATTTGAATCATCCGGGTTTGAAATCAATAATATTTCCTTAGAGTTTTCTCTTATTTTCCCAGAGGATTCAGAGTATGTGTTTTTTACACTTAGAAACGGTGATTTCCTTGTGTAATAGCATTGTACTCTAAAAAATCCCCCACCTGTGGCCTCTACTGTATGGCACATCAACGTGAACAAATCATGTTGTCATAGAGGTATCGAGGTTTTAGTGCGGAACTTTGTTTGCTTTGATACAATTTCTAATAATCAACTTGAATCCTAAAAGCTGACATTGTTTGCCCTTTTCTATCAGCTCAAGTTTTCAAAATGGTAGCTTGTTAATGTGAAACTGAAGCAAGAAGTTCATGCATTTGAACATCATCAACTCACTAGAACTAGTTTCAGGTAAGTTGCCTGCCCATTCATGAGGGAAAGAGACAAGAAAATATTTTTATACCCTTTGCTAATAGCTCAGCCTTTTGTTCCAGCAAGATATGAAGACTTGATATTTTAAAATCCCTCAAGTCTGGTAGTCATTCCCTGACCTATNCTGCCCATTCATGAGGGAAAGAGACAAGAAAATATTTTTATACCCTTTGCTAATAGCTCAGCCTTTTGTTCCAGCAAAATATGAAGACTTGATATTTTAAAATCCCTCAAGTCTGGTAGTCATTCCCTGACCTATTTGCTTGTTAGACAAGGGAGGTTCCGAGACTCCGAGGGTTAGAAAAAGCTTGATATGCATTGTTTGGTAACCCTGACAATAATAAGCTTTTAAAGCATGTGCTCTAAAAGCTTATTATGGTGAGTAACAACAATTACATGCTTGGTAATGGATCAAAAGTAACGTCAACCAATATCAAAAAGAAATTCATAGCAACCCCCTCCTTAATCTAGTTATCTATCCCTCTTTAGGATTTCAATCTAGTGATCAAAGGTCATTATCCAGTTTAATCTCAGTTTTAGGAAGGGTGAACTCTGTATTGCTCATAGTTCAAAGTATTGGCCGATACTGATATGAGTCGACCGAGTCATATCTGACTCGGACATTTTCCATGACGATACCGTTATATGATATGTATAAACTCCGAGTATCGCACAACTCGGCCGAGTCGTCTGAATTTTATCCGAAGTAATCTTGAGTTGCCGAAATATTGTCACCGAATCGGCCGATATAGTTATAGCATATGCATTGGATTATATACCCAAAGTGGTAGCCCTTAAATTTGGATCCATAACTGCTAATCTGAGCACTTAATCAGTGCTAGGCAATGAACCCCATTTCACCAAACATTTTCTCTTCCAATTAAATTAAAACCACTAATTAAAATTCTACAAGCAATTTAAAAAAAGGTATTATAGCATATTGCTAACAGAGAAATAAATACATATAAGCACATATAATTATAAGGTTATCTATCTACATATAGTAAATAATTTAGAGGTGAGAGGTCTTGAAAATTATTCCCTCCCCATTTTCCAATTTTTATAGAATTTAAAAATTTTTAATTCAAAACTTAAGATTTCCTCCGATCATTGACACTATCACGTCTCATTTGTAACAACTCTTCAACTTCTTCATAACTAACCAAAGCTAGTTTATTAATAAAAGGGTTAATATCAAATTGTATCTTGAAAGATCATTTGAATTTCAATTTATATTTTTAAAGATAAAAAAATTTAATTTGTACCCTCAAAAATAAAAATCTATATCAACAATCACGTCAAGTTACCGGTCGTCACTAAATGAATAAATTACATATAGATTTTCTCATACTTGTCTCTTAATCACCTAAACCCCATATTTGAAATATTTCACTTACATTCCTTTAGAATCCAAATATAACTAATACATTCCTTTAGAATCCAAACATGACTAAAATTGTTTCCCCAATTGGGCATCCAAATAATTAAGTGATGTATTACATTGTATATAAAGAAATATTATATAAATACCTCCATTATATTGGAGGTTTAAATGGTAAACTTGATTTTGAATTTTAGAGTATAATGGGCTCACAAAATAAAGGGTATTATAAAAATTATAATTTTGTATTAGGATGAAATCATATATTTTTTAACAGTTATATTAACGGATATTAACGAGGGGTTATGTTTTACACATGCACAATCGTCATGAGGCTTAAGAGTAATATTCTAAATGCAAGAAGTCTAAATTGATTAAGTGACAAGACGTGGCAACCTGAGAACGGTAGTTTTAGGTGTGCATTAATATAAATTTTTATTTTTGAGGTTTTAATCAATCTTAAGGGAACAATTTACCATTAATCCTCAATAAAATCACTTAATTTACCAAGAAACAAAATGACATATATATACACAGAGAGAATAAGGATGAGAGAGAGAGAGAGAGAGAGAGAGAGTGTACATTAGGAGCTGGANGGTATTATAAAAATTATAATTTTGTATTACGATGAAATCATAAATTTTTTAACAGTTATATTAACAGATATTAACGAGGGGTTATGTTTTACGCATGCACAATCGTCATGAGGCGTAAGAGTAATATTCTAAATGCAAGGAGTCTAAATTGATTAAGTGACAAGACGTGGCAACCTGAGAACGGTAGTTTTAGGTGTGCATTAATATAAATTTTTATTTTTGAGGGTTTAATCGATCTTAAGGGAACAATTTACGATTAATCCTCAATAAAATCACTTAATTTACCAAGAAACAAAATGACATATATATACACAGAGAGAATAAGGATGAGAGAGAGAGAGAGAGAGAGAGAGAGTGTACATTAGGAGCTGGAATTGATTGAGAGAATCCAAATCCTGGGAACTGAGTAAGGCTTTGAATTGAGAAGAAGCCTCTACGGACGCGACTCTGATCGACTCTTTCTCTGATTGCTCCATCTCTCTGGTTTTGCTCCTGCCTCTGCCTTTGGGCTGGGATGGTTTATGTAAGCTACACCACAGAGACACTAGAGTGTAGGATAGGGACTCTGGAGTGAAGGATAGAAAATTTATGGATAAATTTCATCCAAAGACCCGTCACATTTGACTAATCACACCAAATCATTAAAAAAATAACACGCCACCTTTAAATTTTACAACTTGCAATAGAGAAAGCTTGTCTACAATAGGGGTCTTTCCCGGTACCCACAAAAATAATATAAGAATAACAACTAAACGCTCACTTTTTAAATTATAGAGAAATTTTAAATTTCCCTCTCCTTTCCTCCTCCCAAAAAAAATAAAATAAAGAAAAAAAAATTTTATTTACCAAATATTGTATTATAAATAATGTGTTAAAATATCATGCATTAAATATTTAGAGCAAGTTAATAGATCCTACTAATCCAACCAACAACACTAATTTATAATACAAAATTTAGTAAATAATTTGGTAAGCACAACATTGCTCGTCTTTAAAAAATAGAGGCCTTTCAAACCCTGACTTTTCAAACAGTAAAGAAATCCTCAATCTTTAAGGGATAAAACTAGGTTTTTTCAAATTTGTTTATCAAATATTGTATCACAAATGATGTGTCAAAATTCAATGCATTAAATGTTTAGAGAAAGTTAGTAGACTTTATTGATCCAACCAACCACACTAATTTGTAATACAAAATTTAGTAAATAATTTGATAAGTATAACATTACTCATCTTTAAATAATAGAGGCTACTGGTATTTTGGTTCTTCTTTTTAACTTCTATAACTCTCTCAACTTTTGTCTTTAGGTTTCAAGTTATCATAGATCTTATGAAGTAACACTTGCAAAAAAATTTGAAGGTGATGAACTCAAAATACAAGAATTCTTGGTTATTTATATGATTTTTTTTTTTGTATCAGTGCTTAGCTTCTTTTGATATTGTCTTACTATCAATTGTTGATTTTATGATATAATTTGACCGTAATCTATGACTTTAAGAGAATGTGATGTGTTTCGTTCGTTATTTAGATTAGATTTTTTTGTTATATTTATCTTCTTTTTTGTTTTTATTTAGAAATTTGA